TTATATATTTCTAACTCCAAACAATTGGCCACCGAACCAGCTGATAAAATCTTCCTTTGATTCGATACGTGATTACAACTTGACACTCACATTTTACTGATGCAGAAGACGCGCGCGTGCACGCGCACTGAGGGAGCGCGGTGTTCACCGGGCTGTGGTCAAATAATGACGCAGTTACAAGGTGTGTATAATTTAAACTAGGCTACTTAGTCAACACTAACTGTAGCTGCTGTTCGGTTTTCAAACTGCTGCTCTCCTTAGTCACTTCTGAACTTCGATTGATTAAAGCGCAGGGTGACGGGTTGCCAGATATCTCAAAAAGAGCAAAACAAGCCCCTAAAAAACGCAGTGTAGCCTAAGCAGATGGCACAAATGTACCGGGGAACACATTTAAACAACTAGTATTACTATCCTACAAAATTAAAAGGAAGTAACTAATTTATCATGAATAGAATAGTTCAATATAAAATATTCAGATGTTATAAACTGATTGATGAAGTAAACAAAGCATAACATGAGATTGAAAAATGATTCAGAAACACTTTATTTAAAGTTTAATTGCACCTATGAGTTGTATTTAATATCAATCAGTTGGGGGCAGTTTATCTAAAAGTTGATGAGTGTGTTTTGTTTATATTTAGCTATCTAAATAGTTTACCAAATAAATAATTTACCAAATAAGAGAAAAAGAAAACAATGTGAAGTACTTTTCATTTCTAAAGTATTTGGGTTTATTTATTATACAAAGCCCTTTTTGTCGATTTTTCGAGAATAACTATATAAATATCTATGTCGTGAAATATATCGTTACCGTGAAATAAAATGAGTCATACCATGAAATAGAATTTTGGTCATACCGCCCACCCCTACTACTGACCCAGAAGCTCGAGAAAAGTGCTCAAAATCAGGTAAATGATCCCTGATTCACTGAAATATCAGGAGATCCTGAGAGAACATCTCGTCAGTGAGGAAGCTAAAGCTTGACCTTCAACAGGACAATGATCCCAAGTGCTAAAGGTGCTTGCCATGAAGGGGTTGAATAATTGAGATTGCAGAAGTCATTAAGTTGCATTTTTAGTTGAATTTGGGGAAACCACTTGAAACATTTGTTGTTGAGCTATTTAAATTACTTTTCTTTGATTTGTTCATTGCAAACAGCTAAAAATCTGTAAATTTTGCCAATAAACCTGATTTGCAATGGGGTTTGAATAATTTTGATCACAACTGCATGTAAAGCTCAATGATCTGATGACAGAAGGTGAGCTCAGGTGTTTGTGTCTCAGGTGGATAAAGTCCTGAAGGTCATTCCGCGCGACAGACGCACATTCCTGTTTTCGGCCACAATGACTAAAAAGGTAAAGTCAAGTCAAGTCATCTTCATTTATATAGCGCTTTTAACAATGAATTGTTTCAAAGCAGCTTTACAGAGATAAACATATAATTTAAGGTAACAGATTGTTTTGGCGTTATAGCGGTTCTGCTATAACGCATGTAAAGGTCTGCATGTGTGTGAAGCGGCTGCTGATGCGGTCGAGCGTCTGTTGATGTGCTCTGGTCTCACTGGTTTCAGTCTGTTGATGTGCTCTGGTCTCACTGGTTTCAGTCTGCTGATGTGCTCTGGTCTCACTGGTTTCAGTCTGCTGATGTGCTCTGGTCTCACTGGTTTCAGTCTGCTGATGTGCTCTGGTCTCACTGGTTTCAGTCTGCTGATGTGCTCTGGTCTCACTGGTTTCAGTCTGCTGATGTGCTCTGGTCTCACTGGTTTCAGTCTGCTGATGTGCTCTGGTCTCACTGGTTTCAGTCTGCTGATGTGCTCTGGTCTCACTGGTTTCAGTCTGCTGATGTGCTCTGGTCTCACTGGTTTCAGTCTGCTGATGTGCTCTGGTCTCACTGGTTTCAGTCTGTTGATGTGCTCTGGTCTCACTGGTTTCAGGTGCAGAAGCTTCAGCGAGCTGCTCTACGGGACCCCGTCAAGTGCAGCGTTTCCACCAAATACGCCACCGTCGACAAACTGCAGCAGTACTACATATTCATCCCATCAAAGTACAAGGTTCCTTCAGCTCCTCCGTCCTTCTGTTGTCACTCTCCTCAGACGTGTGTATCAGACGTGTTTCAGCCCTCATGAACGCTCATGTGTGAGTCTGTGTGTGTTGTTAGGACTGTTATCTGGTCTCTATCCTCAATGAACTGGCCGGGAACTCCTTCATGGTTTTCTGCGGCACTTGTAATAATGCCCAGCGTGTGGCGCTGCTGCTCAGGAACCTGGGAATCACTGCCATCCCACTGCACGGTCAGATGAGTCAGGTATACACACACACACAGCCATCCCACTGCACGGTCAGATGAGTCAGGTATACACACACACACACACACGGCCATCAACCTGCACGGTCAGATGAGTCAGGTATACACACACACACAGCCATCCCACTGCACGGTCAGATGAGTCAGGTATACTCACACATACACACACTCTCACTCACTCACACCGTTTGTGTGTCGCGTTTCTGTGTGTTATGGACTGACGTGTGTGTCTCCACCTTCAGAACAAGCGTCTCGGCGCACTCAACAAGTTCAAGTCAAAGTCCCGCTCGGTGCTGCTGGCCACGGATGTGGCGTCCCGTGGGCTGGACATCCCTCACGTCGACTGCGTCATCAACTTTGACATTCCCACACACTCCAAGGTACACGAGCAACTTTGACATTCCCACACACTCCAAGGTACATGAGCAACTTCGACATTCCCACACACTCCAAGGTACACGAGCAACTTCGACATTCCCACACACTCCAAGGTACATGAGCAACTTCAACATCCCCACACACTCCAAGGTACACAAGCAACTTCAACATCCCAACACACTCCAAGGTACACGAGCAACTTTGACATTCCCACACACTCCAAGGTACATGAGCAACTTCTACATCCCCACACACTCCAAGGTACACGAGCAACTTCGACATTCCCACACACTCCAAGGTACACAAGCAACTTCAACATCCCAACACACTCCAAGGTACACGAGCAACTTTGACATTCCCACACACTCCAAGGTACATGAGCAACTTCAACATCCCCACACACTCCAAGGTACACAAGCAACTTCAACATCCCAACACACTCCAAGGTACACGAGCAACTTCTACATCCCCACACACTCCAAGGTACACGAGCAACTTCAACATCCCAACACACTCCAAGGTACACGAGCAACTTCAACATCCCCACACACTCCAAGGTACATGAGCAACTTCAACATCCCAACACACTCCAAGGTACACGAGCAACTTCAACATCCCCACACACTCCAAGGTACATGAGCAACTTCGACATTCCCACACACTCCAAGGTACATGAGCAACTTCGACATTCCCACACACTCCAAGGTACACGAGCAACTTCGACATTCCCACACACTCCAAGGTACATGAGCAACTTCAACATTCCCACACACTCCAAGGTACACAAGCAACTTCGACATCCCACACACTCCAAGGTACACGAGCAACTTCGACATTCCCACACACTCCAAGGTACATGAGCAACTTCGACATTCCCACACACTCCAAGGTACACAAGCAACTTCGACATCCCCACACACTCCAAGGTACACGAGCAACTTTGACATTCCCACACACTCCAAGGTACACGAGCAACTTCGACATTCCCACACACTCCAAGGTACACAAGCAACTTCGACATCCCCACACACTCCAAGGTACACGAGCAACTTCTACATCCCACACACTCCAAGGTACACGAGCAACTTCAACATCCCCACACACTCCAAGCTACACGAGCAACTTCAACATTCCCACACACTCCAAGCTACACGAGCAACTTCAACATCCCAACACACTCCAAGGTACACAAGCAACTTCTACATCCCCACACACTCCAAGGTACACGAGCAACTTCTACATCCCCACACACTCCAAGCTACACGAGCAACTTCAACATTCCCACACACTCCAAGGTACATGAGCAACTTCAACATCCCCACACACTCCAAGGTACACGAGCAACTTCGACATTCCCACACACTCCAAGGTACATGAGCAACTTCAACATCCCCACACACTCCAAGGTACATGAGCAACTTCAACATCCCCACACACTCCAAGGTACACGAGCAACTTCAACATTCCCACACACTCCAAGGTACACGAGCAACTTCTACATCCCACACACTGCAAGGTACACGATCAACTTCAACATCCCCACACACTCCAAGGTACACGAGCAACTTAAACATTCCCACACACTCCAAGGTAAACGAGCAACTTCGACATTCCCACACACTCCAAGGTACACGAGCAACTTCGACATCCCCACACACTCCAAGGTACACGAGCAACTTCTACATCCCCACACACTCCAAGCTACACGAGCAACTTCTACATCCCCACACACTCCAAGCTACACGAGCAACTTAAACATTCCCACACACTCCAAGGTACACGAGCAACTTCTACATCCCCACACACTCCAAGCTACACGAGCAACTTAAACATTCCCACACACTCCAAGGTACACGAGCAACTTCTACATCCCAACACACTCCAAGGTACATGAGCAACTTCGACATTCCAACACACTCCAAGGTACACGAGCAACTTCAACATTCCCACACACTCCAAGGTACACGAGCAACTTCGACATCCCCACACACTCCAAGCTACACGAGCAACTTCTACATCCCCACACACTCCAAGGTACACGAGCAACTTCTACATCCCCACACACTCCAAGGTACACGAGCAACTTCAACATCCCCACACACTCCAAGGTACACGAGCAACTTCAACATTCCCACACACTCCAAGGTACACGAGCAACTTCAACATTCCCACACACTCCAAGGTACACGAGCAACTTCAACATTCCCACACACTCCAAGGTACACGAGCAACTTCAACATTCCCACACACTCCAAGGTACACGAGCAACTTCAACATCCCCGCACACTCCAAGGTACACAAGCAACTTCAACATCCCCACACACTCCAAGGTACACGAGCAACTTCAACATTCCCACACACTCCAAGGTACACGAGCAACTTCAACATTCCCACACACTCCAAGGTACACGAGCAACTTCTACATCCCCACACACTCCAAGGTACACGAGCAACTTCAACATTCCCACACACTCCAAGGTACACGAGCAACTTCAACATCCCCGCACACTCCAAGGTACATGAGCAACTTCAACATTCCCACACACTCCAAGGTACACGAGCAACTTCAACATTCCCACACACTCCAAGGTACACGAGCAACTTCAACATCCCCACACACTCCAAGGTACACGAGCAACTTCAACATTCCCACACACTCCAAGGTACACGAGCAACTTCAACATTCCCACACACTCCAAGGTACACGAGCAACTTCAACATTCCCACACACTCCAAGGTACACGAGCAACTTCAACATTCCCACACACTCCAAGGTACACGAGCAACTTCAACATCCCCACACACTCCAAGGTACACGAGCAACTTCAACATTCCCACACACTCCAAGGTACACGAGCAACTTCAACATTCCCACACACTCCAAGGTACACGAGCAACTTCAACATCCCCACACACTCCAAGGTACACGAGCAACTTCAACATTCCCACACACTCCAAGGTACACGAGCAACTTCAACATTCCCACACACTCCAAGGTACACGAGCAACTTCAACATTCCCACACACTCCAAGGTACACGAGCAACTTCAACATTCCCACACACTCCAAGGTACACGAGCAACTTCAACATTCCCACACACTCCAAGGTACACGAGCAACTTCAACATTCCCACACACTCCAAGGTACATGAGCAACTTCTACATCCCCACACACTCCAAGCTACACGAGCAACTTCGACATTGACATTTGATTTACTTGATTAAAACCGTTTGAAGAAGTGTTGGCCTGTGTGTTTGCTAACGCTAGCTGTGTTCTCTGCAGGACTACATCCACCGCGTGGGCCGCACGGCGAGAGCAGGGAGATCTGGGAAATCCATCACCTTCGTCACACAGTCAGTCACTCCTCCTTCCTTCAGTCGCTCAGTGATTCTGCTGATGGTTGTGGGCTCAGGCCTCAGAGACTGTGTTAGCGTTCAGGGGAATAGATCTGTTATGGCGCTTTTCCACTGCATAGTACGGTTCGGTTCGGTACGGCACGCTTTGGCGCTTTTCCACTGCATAGTACGGTACGGTTCGGTTCGGTACGGCTCACTTGTGGTGCTTTTCCACTGCATGGTACAGTACGGTACGGCTCGCTTCCGCTCGCTTTAAATGGTACCTGGTCTGTTGAGGTTCCAAGCGTACCGTACCGGTACTAAAATGTGACGTAAAAACACTGCAGATCACTGATTGGTCAGACAGAATCGTCACTACCAGCGTCATTGGACACTAAACCCGCTAGATTTAAATAACCAGTAGACAACAGCCAACGCGGTAGCATCTGTTTTTTAAACTTTAAAAAGAAATGGCTGAATCGTGGTCAGTGGACGAGGTGCAGACGTTCCTCTCGTTGGTTGCCGAGGAGCGGATCCAGCGAGAGCTGGATGGGGCAAAACGGAATGAAAAAGTGTTCCAAGAAGTAGCTCAGCTCTTAGCCGCACACGGCTATCACCGGACCTACAAACAGTGTAGGGACAAAATAACGATCAGTCCCACCCACTTTGAAGAGGTACTAACTGCGGTGGAAAAGCAACCGAGCTAAAGCGAACCGAGCCGTGCCGTACCGAGTCGAGTCGTACCACGCAGTGGAAAAGCGAAGCGAGCCGAACCGTTCCGCGCCGAGTCGAACCGAACCGAGCCGTACCAGCAGTGGAAAAGCGCCATTACTAGCTTCAGTCTTTCCATACACCTATATGTATGTCAATTTTGGGATGTCGCATATAAAACCACTGGATGGAAACGCAGAGATAAATTCTTAAAGTGCATAGGAAACATCACATTTTGTGCACAAGTTAAATTCTCAATTTTGTATGGAAACAAAGCTATTATTGGCTTACGAACTGATGAACCAGTGAAGGATTTCAAGCTTTATTCAGGAAAGTCTTGATTAATTCCCTCTTCAGAGCGACTGAGCAACTGTTGATCGTTGTGTGTGTGTGTGTGTGTGTGTGCAGGTATGACGTGGAGCTGTTCCAGCGCATCGAGACGCTGATCGGGAAGAAACTGCCCGCCTTCCCCACACAGGAAGAGGAAGTGATGATGCTGGTGGAGCGAGTGAGCGAGGCTCAGCGATTCGCACGCATCGTACGTCCTCCTGCCATGTGATCAGCTATTGCGGAGTGTGTGTGTGTGTGTGTGTGTGACGGCTGTGTTTCTTCTGTCAGGAGATGAAGGAGAGCAGCGAGAAGAGGAAGCGGCCCAGAGCGGCCGAGGAAGAGGACGGCGAGCAGTCGAGCGGCGTGAGGAAGATGGTCAAGGGCGGCTCCTTCAGAGGAACTCGAGGAACTCGCGGTGGCGGCTTCAAGAGAGGACGATGAAGATCACGGCTGTAGTTTCTCCCTGTGTATCTAATAAATGCATTCTCTTCTCCACTTTGAGTGAACTGTCCCTTTAAGATAATATAAATATGTGCATTATGAATTTCTTTGAAGCCGCGTCCCCCTTTGGCAGAGAACAGACCACAACGTTACTACTTTTAGAGGCGTTTCTCAATGGCAAGTGCGCCAAGTTTCGGACTTGTGTTTTTGGCGGTTCGGACTTGGCGAGTTTGGCTTCGGAGACGAACCCTGGAGTCCGGAGATTCAGCGAACAGAACAACAGCGCTCTCTGTCACTGGTCTCGACAGGAGTCTGACTGAACACACGATGATTGCAGTTGTGCTCTTATAAAGAGGCTGAAGTGGCGAATCTGTCAGGAAGAGACAGTGGAGATGTGCCTTATTAGCACGTGTCTCCAGCTTTGTACGTCTATCTAATCCTTGTGCTTTTCTCGTCCCCTGCCCATGTATTTATAAATGTGACTGGACAGTTTACTTGCTATACCCCTAAATAAAAAGTAACAAAAGTTTAACATTTGTATTATTTTACATGTTTAGGTGTTATTTTTGGTGTAAGCTGTAGTATGTGGTGCTTTTCATTGGTCCTGGTTATACTGAGAAGGGTTTCTGATATTTAATTTCTTCATTCATATAAATGCACCTGAAGAACAGGTACGTTTTTGGTAATGCAAGATCCAGAGGTTGACGCTCGGTTAGGGTTATTAATGTTAGTCACATTAATGGAAGTGCTGAGCTTCATCGGTGTCGTGTACATCATTGACCAGCTCAGACTTCAACAGAATCTGACCATTTCATTTCTGTGATGCATTAATATTTAATCTTGCAGCAAGTCTTCTGACTCTGGGAGCAATGATGGTAAAAACGAAGTGATGCTTTTAAATCTTAAACTAAAGCCGCCATTAGGTGGTAAGTCACTATCTTAATGAGCGAGTCATATGCCTTTCTAAATACACACACGTGTGGTCTTTGCTCTTGATTGATAGCATGAACACTTGGGCTGAATAGAGGAAATAAGTCAAGTAGGTGTAAAGACTGCAAAGTGTGTGTGTGTAGCACTTTTGATCACTCGATGGGACACACTTAGTGTTTACAGTGCTTTAATTATATTTTCAATACTTTGCATTTTAAAATAAACTTCTACTTGTCTGTTCAGTAGTCGCTATTGTGGAAGAAATTGAATCTAGTCAATTAATTTTCCCTCCCTTCTCACTTTCCTTGATCCAGCTTCACCCATATGAGAAAAACCTGCATGGTTCATATACAGCAACCATATATTTTCCTTACTTAAATTGGTCAGAATTACCTTATGTGTTTCATGTAAGACCAATACATGTCCTATATAAAATCAGACCGATTATGGCCCCTTTCATACTAAAAAGCACACATACAACTTATAGGGGATTTTTGCGTCATACAGGTCCTTCTCAAAAAATTAGCATATTGTGATAAAGTTCATTATTTTCCATAATGTAATGATAAAAATTAAACTTTCATATATTTTAGATTCATTGCACACCAACTGAAATATTTCAGGTCTTTTATTGTTTTAATACTGATGATTTTGTCATACAGCTCATGAAAACCCAAAATTCCTGTCTCAAAAAATTTGCATATTTAATCCGACCAATAAAAGAAGTGTTTTTAATACAAAAAAAAAAAGTCAACCTTCAAATAACTATGTTCAGTTATGCACTCAATACTTGGTCGGGAATCCTTTTGCAGAAATGACTGCTTCAATGCGGCATGGCATGGAGGCAATCAGGCTGTGGCACTGCTGAGGTGTTATGGAGGCCCAGGATGCTTCGATAGCGGCCTTAAGCTCATCCAGAGTGTTGGGTCTTGCGTCTCTCAACTTTCTCTTCACAATATCCCACAGATTCTCTATGGGGTTCAGGTCAGGAGAGTTGGGAGGCCAATTGAGCACAGTAATACCATGGTCAGTAAACCATTTACCAGTGGTTTTGGCACTGTGAGCAGGTGCCAGGTCGTGCTGAAAAATGAAATCTTCATCTCCATAAAGCTTTTCAGCAGATGGAAGCATGAAGTGCTCCAAAATCTCCTGATAGCTAGCTGCATTGACCCTGCCCTTGATAAAACACAGTGCACCAACACCAGCAGCTGACATGGCACCCCAGACCATCACTGACTGTGGGAACTTGACACTGGACTTCAGGCATTTTGGCATTTCCTTCTCCCCAGTCTTCCTCCAGACTCTGGCACCTTGATTTCCGAATGACATGCAAAACTGAACAACAGTCCAGTGCTGCTTCTCTGTAGCCCAGGTCAGGCGCTTCTGCCGCTGTTTCTGGTTCAAAAGTGGCTTGACCTGGGGAATGCGGCACCTGTAGCCCATGTCCTGCACACGCCTGTGCACGGTGGCTCTGGATGTTTCTACTCCAGACTCAGTCCACTGCTTCCGCAGGTCCCCCAAGCTCTGGAATCGGTCCTTCTCCACAATCTTCCTCAGGGTCCGGTCACCTCTTCTCGTTGTGCAGCGTTTTTTGCCACACTTTTTGCTTCCCACAGACTTCCCACTGAGGTGCCTTGATACAGCACTCTGGGAACAGCCTATTTGTTCAGAAATTTCTTTCTGTCTTACCCTCTTGCTTGAGGGTGTCAATGATGGCCTTCTGGACAGCAGTCAGGTGGTCCGGCAGTCTTACCCATGATTGCGGTTTTGAGTAATGAAACAGGCTGGGAGTTTTTAAAAGCCCCAGGAATCTTTTGCAGGTGTTTAGAGTTAATTAGTTGATTCAGATGATTAGGTTAATAGCTCGTTTAGAGACCCTTTTCATGATATGCTAATTTTTTGAGACAGGAATTTTGGGTTTTCATGAGCTGTATGCCAAAATCATCAGTATTAAAACAATAAAAGACCTGAAATATTTCAGTTGGTGTGCAATGAATCTAAAATATATGAAAGTTTAATTTTTATCATTACATTATGGAAAATAATGAACTTTATCACAATATGCTAATTTTTTGAGAAGGACCTGTATATGCTGGGGTACAATTTATGAAAGATCGTTCTTTCGCACTGCATTTTGTAAAACTATTGGTGGTGATGGCGCAGTGGATAAGACACATGCCTTTGGTGTGAGAGACCCGGGTTCGAATCCACTGTGAGACACCAATGTGTCCCTGAGCAAGACACTTAACCCCTAATTGCTCCAGAGGCGTGCGACCTCTGACATGCATAGCAATTGTAAGTCGCTTTGGATAAAAGCGTCAGCTAAATGAATAAATGTAAATGTAAATGTAAATGTGTGGACCAGACCTCTGTCCCTCTATGGGGGGTTCGGGGTCACGCTCCCCGCCAAACATTTTGTACATTTTAAGGTTAAATGCTCAATCTGATGCACTTTGAGAGCTCAAAATTAAGAGCTTCAACCGGCTTCGACCCATGACCTGCGCACATTGAACAAAGAAAAAGCATTGACTTGTACCTAAAGAGGGCTCAAACATCGTTTTAGTTATGATATAGGGATCTCCCAGTCACGTGATATCTAGCCACGCGTCAGCCATTTTGACGGAATACATCCGTCAGCTACTCAGAGGCGGATCTATTATTAGGGGAGGGCCACCCCTAATAATAGATCCATTGCCGTGTGTAATATATATTATTAGTATTATTATACTAATAATATAATTATTAGTATTGTAGCGTTCACTACTAAAAGTAAACAGACAAATTCTTCCTCCTTCTAAGGTTTTATTCATGAACTGCAGTGCCTATAGAGTCTCAGACATTACACTATCACTGGTGTTTTAGAATGCCAAACATTTATTATAATAATATAATAATGATTTATATAATTATTCCAATGATGGAAAATCCATATAGCCATATAGACAAAGCCAGATAGGCTGCTGAGATTTCTGTCTTTGAGGTAAATCAAACTCTCATTGATTATGTTTGATGTTTTTGTTTTTTAATGTAATATTTTGTACTCTCAGCAGACTGTGAGTATGTGCCTAAATTGCTAAACAGTTGCTGTAAGCTGTAGCTGTTGCAAGGTACAACAACGCCAGATAGGTGGCAGGGATTTTCCTTCTTGGAGGTAAATCAAACTTTCATCAGCTATGTTTGATTTATTGGGTGTTAAATGCGTGATAATCATGTGTATCTAAATATTGTGCAGGTTGTAATGATGGTTTGTTCCTGGTTTGGAAAACGGTTGTTGTAAGCTGTTGCCAGGTACGTGATGTATGGTTGAAGTGTATGTTTGTTTTAATTAATGTGTGTTTTTGAGGAATGTTGTTTTTTAAAAATGTTTTGTTTGTGAATATTATTAGCACAAATAATAAGGCTGTTTTCTGGCTCTGTTCTAGGAGCTGGTCTTTGTCACTGTTTTGAATTACTAAAGTCAATTCAAATAATGGAGGACTGATTTACTTAGGTGTATGAACCCTTTTTAACTTATCAACTTGCTGCCATCTGAGCCTATTTATGTGATTGTTGCCAATAAATTGAATTGAAACGACAACTGAGTTGGACATCTTAATGTGCACCATAGATGTGCTTTACATGATCTCCCCTCAGGAACAGGGCAAAGTACAGGGAACCTTCCGCCAGCCGGACAAGTGCTGCCTAAAGCAATTTGCATATGATCAGTTCATCTTCATCCCAGTTTTACATACAAATACTGTTATATAAAAGGCCCTGTGACTTGTGACTTGTTAGGCAAACCTTACAGTAGATGTCAAAACCTCATGTCAAACATTTCTCTGATAAATATGTAAAGCTTTAAACGGTCATGCCAATAAAGCAATTTTTGAATTGAACTGAATTGAGATGTGGACCCCTTTGCATCGCTTTTTAACGTTCTGGGAACCCTTTAGCTTTGTTTTTGGGCTCTGTGATTAAGTTCGCTATAATAAATATGAAACATCTGGTTACACTTTCAAAAACAGCAAAACTACTTGGTTGGGTTTAGGAAAAATCAGTCCAGTTTCTGATCCACTGGTCCACCTCCTTCC